CCGTGGGTGCGCGGATGCGGCCCACTTTATCACATCTGGATTGTGGGTCTGGGAGGGCCGATCCAGCGTAATGTTGAGGGGCCGTGGCCCTGCGGGGCGCGGGTGCAGCGTTCTTGAACAAACGTGGATCGTGGATCTGGGAGGGCGGGTGCAGTGCAAGTCTGACGGATCGTTCCGTTGGGAATTCGAACCCATCGTATTTTGACACCGGATCGTCGCTCTTGGAGCGCGACCCAGGGTGCTTTATATATTGTGGCCCTGGGAGTGCCGATCCAGCGACCACGGCTTACAGACCAGGGTAGGCTGCCCCCTTGGCACGTCACCTGGCACGTTCCGTGGCACGTCCTCTGGCGCGTTCTTGGCACGTCCCCTGGCTTGCGCGTTCCCTGGGGCGTCTACACGGAGCAGGGTGGGTCGCCCGCCCCTTGGCGCGTCTCCTGGCACGTCTTGGCCTGCACGTCCCCTGGCACGTCTGCGGCGCGTCCCCTGGCACGATCCGTGGCGCATCCCGTAGCGCGTTCCTTGGCACGTTCCAGGAGGTGTCCCCTGGCGCTTCCTTGGCACGTTCCCGGGCGTGACCACTGCCACGTCCCCTGGCACGGCCACTGGCACGTCCGCTGGCGCGTCCCCTGGCGCGTCTGCTGGCGCGTCCCTTGGCTCGTTCTCTGGCGCCTCCTCTGCCCGTTCCGTGGCGCGTCCTTTGTCGTGCCTCTTGCCACGTGGCCTTGGCGCGTCCGATGAGGCGCCCCGCGCCATAACGTTTCGTGGCGCGCCCCCTGGCGCGCGCCTTGGGAGGTCCCGTGGCACTGCCTTGACACGTGCACGGCACGTCCCTTCATACGTCGCCTGGCACGACCTCTGGCGCATCCCTCTGTACGCCCGGGCACATCCCGTGGCGAGTCCTTGCTCCCTGCGCACCACGTCGGGCCGTCCCGTGTCGGGACTGAATCGGATCGCGAGCTCGAGTTGGTTGAGCACCCCGCCAGTTTCGAACAACGCAGAGGAGTACAGCACGGTGTTGAAGAGCACAGTTCAGCACGTCACGGTACACAATTACTGGCACTGCTCTGCACATCATTGCCTTTTGCACCTCTCCTCACCATGGGTATTCTCAGCATTGCCATTGTCCACTGGCCTAAGCCAGGGCAAGTATTGAAGTATCCCTTTCCAGGTAGAAGGGTCCATCAGTACGCGCATATCTTTATACACGCACGTATATTCTCTCTGGTTCTAAGTCAGCATGCACACATTTCAATATCGCTCTCTCTCATGTGTATCCTCTCTCTTTCCCTCTCTCCAGGTCTCTCTTTCTCTTCCCCGTCTAATATCATACCATCCCTCCTTCTCTATAGTGGCATTCTCCAATTCTTCAATTAGTTTTATAGGTAAATGTAACTCTATCCCTTTCCCTCTCTCGCTCTGTCCTCGCCAGCGTCTCTTTCTCTCGTTTCTCTATATATCTCCACATGTTTAGTTATATATAGATATCACTCTCTCTCTCTCTTTCTTTCATCCTCTCTCATTCCCTCTTGACTGTCTCTGCTCGGACCGCTGAATCAGAGTGCCTCCCTGGCCAAACCGACCCCAGCACAAGTGTGCCGCCGCCGTTCGCTCTGCTGCAGTCGGTGCAGCGCCTCCTCTTCACTGCGTGATGAGGAGCAGAAGGAGGACGAGCTGGCCACAGCGACCAACAGCCTGGCCGAAGCGAAGGAGGACCTGGCCCAAGAGGAGCCGTGGCGGCAATGCCACACTCACCGTCCTCGCGCCGCCGGCGCGGGCAGCAGAGCCAGGGGAATCTGACGAGGTGGGGACACGACGGGACAGGGGGACGAGGGTCAGGTATACCAGGCGATCGCAAGCATGGATCAAGGGGGCGTGGATTAGCGACGGGTCCCGTTTCGGTGGGAAATCGCGGACTTCCGCCGCCGAACGAGGCGGCACCGGCCGCATTTTGGGAAGGGCAGCTCCCCCGATCCATGGATTTGGTGACCTCGCGCCAAATCCATGGATCGCTAATCTGTGTTTGCGCTCCCGATTATAGAAGCAGGATGAGGTGGGTGATATAGATTGAGAGAGGGCAGCAGAAGGAACAACACCGGGAGGAGTAGAAGACGCATACGCGGGAGGTGGAGGAACCGGCGGATTGCACGCTGTACGTACCCGTGGAAATCAACCTCTGGCCCACGCTCGCCTTTCTGAGTCGTGCAACGCCGAATGCCACGATGATTTTCTCATGGGAGGTAGCGGCGTCGCCTCTCAGGCTAAACGTTTTTCGACAGCATTGTCGAGCGAGTCGCTGTCTATCCCTTGGCAATCTAGTGGGCGTTGTACGACATCTGGTTTCTAGAGCGTGCCATCTACAGGTGTGTATACAAGCTTGAGGCTTTCACCCGTCCCTTGCAGCGCGCACTATGGCCCGATCCACCACGCACGGCCTGGTGCGCATGCTTTGAAAGTCCGGAGTCTCGGCAACAATTCGATCGTATACCATACCTCTATCCAGAATGTCCGAGCTAGTCTGCGTGAGGGTCTTGTCAACAGTCGTGCAGTCTTGCTTTGAAACTCCGACAAGACCGTGTTCGAGTGGAAGTGCCTTCGATTTTGATCGCCAGAGATCGGGTTCAGCGGGGTGTTTTTGCTGGCTTGTGGTGGGCTTCCACCCCTCCCTTGTCAGTCAAATTCAGCATATGTTGCAAGCCATCAATCGCGACGAGATTCTTAGGCGCCGGTTTGAGCAAGCCTTTCGGATCCGAAATGGGGAGTATTCTCTAATCGTCGGCCCAAGCTGGTGTAATGCCGCACCTTCGCTTCTTCAATTGTTTGCAGGCCCATGCATACCGAGTCTATTAATGAAGTAGTGTCTGGGGTAGGCGGTCGGAGACTGTTGCTGCTTACCTTCGCAGCTGCCGCCTCCATAGCAGTTTAGCTCAGGCCCGAAGCTGAGCAGACCCTAAGGCTGGCTACCATTCGCAACCGTAGTAGGGCACTGAGCGGAGAGAGGGGAAGAGGATCAGTTAGACAAGCAGGGTGAGGAGGGGGACATAGATAGAGGAGGAGCAGCTGGAGGAGCAGCAACAGGAGAAGGGGAAGAACCATAAGCAGGAGGAGGACGGGGAAGAAGATGAGGATATTGTTCTGGGACGGGTTATCAACTCTGTAAGCTGGGCTGGGCCTGATCGGCATGGCGACACTGTGCAGGAGAGCAGGCAGGGCATGAAAGTAGTTGGGAGACCATCCTTGGCGCACAAGGAGCAACAGCCTCAATAAAACTGGTCCTCCCCCTGCTCTTGGTGCGTCTGATTTTCCACTCGTATCCGCAATCCATCCCCACTTGCTCCTTCTTCTCCTCTTTCTCCTCTCCTTGCCCTTTCCTCAATCTCGTGATTCTCTTTCTCCTGCTCCTAGTGCGCGTGTTTGCCCGAAGGAAGTAGGTTGCGACCATCCGTTGGGCAGGCTCCCCTTGGTAGTTCTGGGAGCCGTAGGTTGCGCTAACGGGGTGTCTCATCGGGCCGGGGTCATAGGTTGAGCCATGGGTGGCGCATGTGGTTCTTGGCCATGGGTTGCGTCCATGAGTTGCGCCATGGGGTGCGGCCATACGTTGTGGCACGGGTTGCGCCATTGCATGTTTTTTCGCTGGTTTGCACTGCTCAGCATTGCATTCCTTTGCCATGCATGGAATTGGTTGTCTTGCTTTGCTTAGCATTGCTTCGCAGTAGATTGTGTTGCTTTGTGTTGGTATGCATTGCGCGACATGGGTTGCACTAATTCGACCTTTGGGGATCCACGGTGGAGTCATCGATCTCGTCATCCCTCTTACTGTTCTTGTACCTCGTAGTATCCTTCCGATTGCAGCCAGGTTGTTAAACCAGTGCTGGTCCTCTCTGCATCCGAGATAGCAGGCTCCCTGTGCAGGCATGCAGCGGCCCGTAGGCCTCCCCGATGCGCGACCGCACGACAGGCCCGTCAAGCTCTCCGCGCAGCGGGGCGGCCTCGGAGGAGGGCCGCGTGCCGCCCGACGTGTCCGGGTCGCCGCGGGGCACGCGCAAGAGCGGCGTCGGCGTGAGCCTCTGCCGGAACCGGGGGCTGCTGCGGCCGCTGCTGGCGTCCGCGGCGGTGTACTCCACTGTCCTCGCCACCGTCACCGAGCTGTGGCGGCGGCGTGGCGCGCCCAGCACCGCCGCAGGCGCTCAGCAGTACCGATGCCGCTGTCCTCTCCTCTTGGCCTGGGCCTATTGGAGCTTCTCGGGAGGCCCTCGTCGTGCGCACCCTGGGAGAGGTCTGGGGAGTCGCGGCATCGGTATCTTCTGGTTCCCCAGGCGCCAGCTCTGCGGAGAGGGTGCCAGAGGCGCCGACGGCCGAGGCGGAGAAGGCGGCGGAGGGCGCGGGCTCGTGGGAGCCGTCCATCGCCGCGATGGCAGGCGGCCTCGTGGGCGAGTACCACGCGCCGCCCGAGCTGCGGGGCAAGCTGCTGGCGCTGGCGTGCGGCCGCCAGGGGCGGAAGCCGCGCCGCGGCCGCCGCCCAGCCCTGCCCCCTCGCCTGCCGAGTCCCCTGCCTGCTTTTCCCCTCCCGCATGCCTCTGCCGCCCTCTCCTCCTCTCCTGCCCGCGCGTGCCTCCTCGCTCCCACCCCTCGCTCCCCCTCCCCCAATGGAGCCCTGGGGCCCTGGGGACGTCGCTTCCGGCCTCGCAGGCTGGCGCGACGTCGGCACCGAGGGCATCGTCGGTGACCAGCGGAAGCACAACAGCCTCGCGGGCCTCGTGTCGAGGGAGCTGCGGCTTGGCGGCGTGGACCTCCGCTGGCAGGAAGTGTTCGTCCTGGAGCTGCGCGGAGGCCGCCGTGTGCTCGCGCGGGAGTGCCGGCTGTCCGCGCGGACGGTGGAGGAGGACTTGTCCGCCTACGAGAGCGCCACCGTGGTGTCCAGGCAGGCGCTGTGGCTCGAGTGCCCCGGCGGCATCGCCGTGCAGTGGTCGGCGGTGCTGCTGCGCACGAGGGAGGACATTCCAGAAGAGCAGGCGGCATAGGCAACAATGTTCGACGGTCCGCGTGGATTTCTTGCATCGGCGCGGGGCCCCCCGGGTGGCGCCGGCGCCGCGCCTGGCGCGCTCCGCACGCCAGGGAGGGGGCCTCGGCGCAGATCCAAGACATCCGCGCGGACCGTCGACAGGTGCTGTTTGTGCTGCTCTGTGTCCTTCCTCTGAGGACGGGGAGGCCCTGCGGACGCGGCTCGTGTTCCACGGCAAGGGCGTGGAGAGGCTGTCCATGTGGGCCGTGGGCTCGCCAGCCGGCTGCCCGGGCGCCGACGAGGCGGCCGCGCAGCTCCCCGCCTTCGCCCCCCCCGCGGCGGCGCGGCCCGGCGCCGCGGAGCCCGCCGAGGCGGGGGAGCAGCGCCCGTGCTTCCAGGCCGCGGGCGGGGTGGACGGCAGCCCGCTGGTGGACCCCGCGCTCGGGGCCTGGCTGGCCATGGACCACCCCCGCGCCCAGCACTCGCTGGCCGGCGGGGCGCTGGAGTGCTGGCTGGCGGCGCCCTCGGCTGGCGTCGCCTACTTCGCTTCGCTCGGCGCCGCCGGCGCGGCGGGCGCGGCGGCGCGCCGCGAGCCGGAGGACGCGTTCCACCTGCTGCGGCGGCACTTCGGGGCGTACCTGGGGGCGCTGCGGTCCTCCAACGCCGACGCGCACCTCTTCTACGACTCGAGGTACGACTTGAGGCGCGTGCCCTGCAAGGACTCCTCGCCGCTGGGCGCGCCCCATTGCAAGGCCGCCGAGCCGCTGAACGAGCAGAGGGTCCTGGACCGGCTTCTCAGCGTGCACCGAGAGCTCAGCTCGCGCGGCATACCCCTCGACGGCCTGCTGCTGGACGACGGTTGGGACAGCGACGACGGCGCCGAGCTGTGGCAGGCGCACCCCGAGAACTTCCCCCTGGGCCTCGCGCCGCTCTGCGCCTCGGCCACCGCGCGCGGCGTGGCGCTGGGAGTGTGGCTGTCGCCCTGGGGCGGCTTCGGCGAGAGCGGCAGCCGGAGGCTGCAGCTGGGCGCCAAGGCTCCGACGAAGAAACAGCGGCACAGACGTAAACACTCGAAGCTCCGCGCGGATTTCTTGGAGCGGCAATGGGCCCCCCTGGCGGCTGTATACGCTGGCGGCGCCTCCGGCGCGCTCCGCACGCAAGGGGCCGGGGCTCGGCGCAGCTCCAAGACATCTGCGCGAACCTCCAACAGTTTATGCTCATGCCGTCTTTTCTTCCTCCACAGCTGGGGCTGGAGATCTCGGACGACCTGCACGTGTTTCGTCTCGCCGCCCCACGCTACGGCGCCGTGTTCCGCAATGTCACGCGCGAGCTGGCGCTCCGGGTGGGCGCCCGCTTCTTCAGGCTCGACGGTTTCGGCGAGGGCCTGGACGCCTCGGGGGCCCGGAAGCGCGAGATGGCAGAGGACGTCGACAGGCTCCTCGCGCTGGTGGCCGAGGTGAGGCAGGACGTGAAGGGCGCAGAGCCTGGCGCTGGGAAGCTCTGGCTCTCAGAGGAGGAAAGAGGTACTCCAGATTTCGTAATAAAAGGGAGGGGGTCTGGACGTCTGGACCCTCCAATACAAGCCATTTCAGACCCCCCCCCGTGGGAGAACCCTCCAAAACATCGTCCCCAGACCCCCCCAGGCCCTCCAAGATAGCCTGGAAGAGACCCCCCCCGAAATGAGACCCCCCTCCCTTTATTACGAAATCTGGAGTGCCGACACCGCTACCCTCGCGTAAGTTTCTACCTTGTTGGGCCTCCTGGGAGGCCCTCGTCGCCACCGCAGGAGTCGCCTTGGAATTCTGGTCAGAACGCACCCCAGGAAAGGCCTGGGGAGTCGCGGTATCGGTATCTTTTGGACCTTCTAGGTTCACCGCCTCCACAGGCTCCTGGCCTTCGCCGTTCTGGTTGACCTCCGTCAATTCCGTGTGGCGCGGCGGGCCAGACCTTGGGCGCAGGGGCGAGGGATCCGTCAGGCAGCAGTGGATCACCTTCCGCGACGCTATGGTGTACTCGCAGGTGGTCCAGCGCGCGCCCCTGTTCCCGCTCTCGGGCCTGTCCCTGGGCGGGGTGGTGTGGAGCAGCGCAGAGGAGCCTGGGGCCTACCTGGCCTCCTTCCATCTGGAGGACCTCAAGAGCGAGGCGCGGAGCTTCTTCCTGAGCGGGTCTACCCTCCAGGAGTTGCTGATCATGCCCAGCATCATGAACTCCAGTCACTGGGACGCCATCGCGAGCGCGGCCAACGTGTCGCGGAGGTACGCAGACGTACTCCGGGACGCACACTGGGCAGGGGGCAACCCAGCAGCAGGGGAGCCGTATGGCTACGCCGCGTACGGCTGCGACCCATGCCGCGGGGTGCTGTTCTGGCGCAACCCGCGGGCCCTCGGCCAGAACGTCTCCTTCACGCTGCGGTCGGCCCTGGGCATCCCGAAGGCCTGGACCGGCGGCTCTGCCGACGGCCGCTGGCAGGTGCTGCCGCTGTGGCAGGGCCCGGCCCCCGAGAGGGCTCCGAGCCACCCGGGCGCGGAGAGCGCCGCGGAGGACGGCGCGGGGGAGGCGCGGGCGCCGCCCAGGCGCCTCTCCGAGCGCGCCGCGGCCGCCCCAGCGGCCCCGTCGGCGGACCAGGTGCACGCTGCCGCAGACCCCCTGGCGGGCCAGGCGGCCAGCACCGCCCCGGTCGGTGCTGCGGCGGCCGGCGGCGGCGGCGCAGCCGCCGCCGATGTGGCTGCCGGAACAGCCCAGGCATCGAAGAGACTCACACGGCGTACACGTCATTTTCTCGGAGGTCCGCGCGGAGGGCTCGGATCGGCGCAGGGCCCCCTCCGCGCGCCAGGGGGCGGGGGGGGGGGGCCAGCGCCGCTCCAAGAGCTCCCCGCGGGCTTGCGAGGGATTCTGTCTGTGCAGTTGCTTGTTCCTCCAAGGCAGCTGCTGGCGTTGCGGCTGCCGCCGCCGTTGCCACCAGCGCATCCAGCAGCGTGGATACAGGCGGTGCTGTTGGCGCGCTCGAAGGTGCGGCGGTCCAGACAGTGCCAGCGCCTGCACCAGTAGGCTTCTTGCTTGACGAGGCGCTGTTCGTGCGGCTAGAGGGGTTCGAGCTCCGCGCCTACGAGGTGCTCCCAATGGTTGTCTGAGGGCGACGTGCTGCTCCTTGTACGGCGCCCCCTCCGTTGCGGCGTACCTCTCCAGGCTTAGTGGACTGGCGGCCAAAGAAAGATCTAGCATGATCTAACTACTGCTGAATCGTGCCACCATCGTTGCCGGCACTGCGCAGCGCGTTCGACTGGTGGACAGGGGGCTCCGCACTGTCTGGTTTGCGTATGCGCAGATACCTTTTCGGCATGAATATATATATATATATATATATATATATACGTCTATCCATGTAATGTACTTCTAGATGACTGCGTCAGTCCCGCCACCGTGCCAGCGCAGCACTCCGTGTAGCGACCCTTTGTGAATCGCCCAGCAGGCTGGAACATGTGACAGCCCTCGTCCTTAGCCTCCACAGGGCCGTAACGTGCTGCATGCTTTATCGCATGCCCGAGCGGCTCGAGAAGACCTTCACATGTGATATTGGTCCACTTCCGCTCTCAGGAGGCCAATCACATCTCTCTTCCTCGGTCCTGGTGGACCGTAACATGCAACTAACGCTTGCTTCTCGTTTGATATATATATATATAGAGAGAGAGAGAGAGAGAGAGAGAGAGAGAGCGAGAGAGAGCGAGAGAGAGAGAGAGAGAAACAGAGAAAGAGAGAACGAGAGAAAGAGAGGAAGAGAGAGAGAGAGATACGTAAGATGCGACAGTTGATTTCCTCATGGCCCAGAGAGCCGTTGTGCGTGGCAAGAGGGGGGCCTCCCGGCCCGTCGGGAGCCTCCCGGGCCTGCCTGGAGCCTGCCATGGGCTGTCTTCGTGCCAGTTTTGCAGAGGCCCTCTTGGGCCGTTCCTGGGCCGTCCTGGGGTCCCGTCCTGGGCTGGTCCTGGGCCGTCTTGGGGCTGCCTTCGGGGGGGCCCGTGCGCTGTCACGGGCGCCATGCCCACGCCCCTAGTTTCTCGGACTCGGCGGACGCAGCGCCCCCATTTTCGAGGGTTGAAGTTCATCCGTGGGAGGGCGAGAAGACGATGGCGAGGAACAGCGATGCGGGAGGGAAGGGGTTGTGGTGCGGCAGGAGGAGAAGGAGAAGGAGCACGAGGCGCGACAGAGACGCAATGACGACGAGAATGAGGAGGAACAAAACGACCCACTGAGGAAGCGGCCTACACCGAAATTAAGTGTTGACGGGTCCCCCCTGGCTAAACACAGCCATGTCTTTGAATCCCCAGCCGCTACCGAGGCAGCGCCGCACGCCTCAATCTTTGGAGGCGGGTCCTCTTCGCGGTGAGGGTCTTGGGAACCTCCAGGGGGGGACGTGGACGAGGAGCCGGAGGGGGCGACGGCGGCAGCGGCAGCGGCAGCGGTGCTGGTGTGGGGGGGCGCACGGCAGGCGGCTCCTCCGCCTCTTCCTCTGGCCAGGAGGCCTCCCTGTCCGAGAACCAGAAGTTCCTGGATAACATGAAGGCGTGCTTCCAGTGTGCCTGGGGCTCTCCGTCGCAGCTTTTGTGCTGGAGTGCCGCGTGGGGGTGAGGAAGGTGTTACAGAGACGCGGTTGTTCAATGAACGCCACGAGTTGCAGGCCCGATCGGCCTGTGCACGATTGGGCAACCTTCAGGGATCAGGGTTCCCTCCCCCTCACCTTCCCTCCCTACCTCCCTTTTCGCAAGTTTTTCGTGTTTCTGCCTCCTTCTCCTCCTCATCTCCTCCTCCTACTGCTCCTTCCCCTCCTCCTCCTCCTCCTCCTCCTCCTCCTCCTCCTCGTCCCCCTCCTCCTCCTCCTCTTCCTCCTCCTCCTCCTTCTCCTCCTCCTCCTCCTCCTCCTCCTCCTCCTCCTCCTCCCTCCTCTTCTTATTACCACCAACATTTCCCTGCCCTCCTCCCCTCGTCCGACGTCCTCTTCATCCTTGCTCTCCACCTCCCTCTTCCCCTTCCTCTGCCGCTTCCCCTCCGCCCTTTCTTCACGCTCTCCCCTTCTTCTCTTTTTCATCGTCGTCGTCCTTCTCACCCTCCTGTCTGGAAAGACGACGCCAGCATGGAAGAAGACACAGTTGAAACTACTGCTTTGATCAGCGGGCGCTGACTTGCCCTAGAACCATCGTCCGATCTCCATCATCCATCTGATAGACAATATTTTGTCGCGCCTGCTGAGCAGCCGACTTGCCTATTCTGGAACGGCACCATCCTCTTGGTCAAGTTGGCGTTCGCGATCATTGCAGCACGGACGAATCTTTACATGGGGGACGGCACAACAGAAACCAGAGGAAATTGCACGCCCCCGTGTGGACAGGCAAGTTTGACAGGAAACCGTATCGCGCGAGTCTATGTCGGCGACTGCGCTTTAGCATGGCTTGCCAATGACATGCGTCGATTCCAATTCACATGCACAGATTGTTTGAAAGACGTGTCCGGGGGGAACGCGTGCGGAGCGCATTCCAACCGCTGGCGCGGTGTGCCGACGTGGTGAGGTTGACCCCCGCTGGTGCGTACTTCCCCACTCTTTTTTCGGAACGCAGAGTATGTATTGCGGCGAATTCCTGCCCAGCTCAAGGGCCCGATTTTCGACCCCGCTCGTCGCATACACTTTTGACCTCACACGTTTTTGGGGTTTACGGGGCTAGCACTGTGATTTCAATTGTACCTTGAGCGTCATCTGCTTGTGTGCGCCCACTTCTTTTCCAACACGATGGACTGCGGCCAAATGGAAATTGTAAAGGCAAATGTGGAGAGCAACATGCTCTTTAATGCGGGGCTCAGCAGTGTCGTCCGCTTAGTTCGCTACGCCTGTTCTGCGCGTCGGACGATCTATTCAAATACTGCCGCGCGCAATGGGGCAGTCGGACAGCCTTAGAGCTGTCAGTAGGCACGCTTGGCTAAAGGAGTATTCGCTGACAACGTCGTTCTTATCAGAACGTCGTTGACGCAGGTACGTAAGATGTTGGGAGATGTCGTAGCAGCTGCCACGCGCAAGAAGCGTGAGCTACATCCACGTCGTATAATAATTCTAAACATGCTCCGCGGGGGAAGCAATACATGAGCGACGTCGGAGTCGAAACGATATTACGAACCGGCAACCAAACTCACTTAGGACGGCAGCTTAATTTGCTGTCTCAAACGTGAGCGCACATACGCGCGCGCACATCCGTTTGGATAATTTTGAAACTGGTCTGCGAAGAACGCTGGTATCGGTAGGGCGGGCTGGGCGTTTCGGTGGAGATTTTCCTATCATTTATGATCCTGACGCTTGACATTTGCAACATTTCACCTGATAGGGAGCGGGTGGTTTTCAACTTGTGGCTCTCGCCTGAGCGCAGCGCACACCTTTTTAAATACAAATTCCAGCAGCTTCACGGATGGAGGACCGGTTGGTTTCAAAATGTGGTTTTCGCCTCAGCGCCGCGCACATTCTCTCTCGAAGTTTTACAACAGCTTCATGGATAGAGGGCGGTGTCTTTCCAGAGTGTGCCTCTCGCATTAGCGCCACGTCTTTGTTGTTCCCTCCCAAAAGCATCAGCAGCTGCACGGATGGGGGGCGGCTCTTTCTCGAGCTGTGGTTCTCGCCCCAGCGCCGCGCGCCAGTCGTGCTTCAACGCTACAGCTGTTCCAAGGGATCGGATACTTGATGACGCAGGAATGGCTTTCTGGCTTCGTTTAGGGTCGCCAGGCCACAGCAGTCACGTTTATCCCTGTTTTGGAGTTCCAGCAGTGGTATCTAGGCCTTCTGGATGGGGTCGAAGTAGATGGGGTCGGAAATTCGCGCCGCATCGCCGATGCATCGCCGATGCGGCTCGATGTGCAGCCCGATTTGCTTCACGTCGACGTCGCCGATGCATCGCCGACGTCGACGATGCATCGCTGGTGCATCGCCGATGCATCGCCGATGCATCGGCGATACGGCGCGATCCTCTGACCCCATTTACTCCGACCCCACCTAGGAGGCCTCTATGGTATTCCGCCAGGGTTTCAGACTGACAGGGCGCACAAGTCACGTTGATTCGCGGCTCTGGAGCCCCAGAATTCTCAAGCGGTTGTCTCCCGATGGGCACCTGCCCGCAATTAAACAAATTCGTGTAGGGACCTTGAGGGGATGCGGTGGGAGGGTTTATTGCATAATCGTTGATGCGCCTTGGGTTTGCACTGGTCCTCCTCTTCCTCCTCCTCCTCCTCCTCCTCCTCCTCCTCCTCCCTCTCCTCCTCCCTCCCTCCTCTCCTCCTCCTCCTCCCTCCTCCTCCTCCTCCTCCTCCTCCTCCTCCTCCTCCTCCCTCCTCCTCCTCCTCCTCCTCTCCTCCTCCTCCTCCTCCCCCCTTTCGGCATCCCCCCGAGGCCATCGCTCGCCCCCCCCCCCCCAGAGGGAGGGAGGGCCGGCGAGCGCAGGCGACCTGCGAGACCGCGGACAAGAACTTCGAGGACCGGGACTCGGGCTGTCGGGTGGCCGCGCGTGGGTTCTCGGCGGTGCTCCCGCCAAGGGATGCGTCCCAGCGGCCGCGTCCCGCCGAGGGCGGCCCCGGGGGTGCCCGGACCGCCAAGAAAGGCTGCTGCAGGTCAGAGTCACAGCCCGAAAACCACCATCGGAGCCCAACGAGACGGGGGGAACCGGGGGTCAGCCAGGGCACCGGATCCTGCAGGATTCTGCGAAGACCCGCTCTGGCTGACCCGGGTTAGCGAGCCGCTCGTGGCCGCGAGGCGGCCGCGTATATTGGCTGACCCGGGTTTGCGAAGACCTGCGTTGCAGTTTTGTTTCCTGCATTGCAGTTTTTCCCAACCATCCTGTGGTGTTGGGTCCTCGTTTTTAAGAGACTTCGCCCCGCGTTCTCCTCTCCTCCACTCCTCCCCCGCCTCCCTCCTCCCTCCTCCCACCATCATCATCGTCATCATCATCATCGCCGTCATCACCACCGTCATCACCATCATCGTCATAATCCTCACGACCATCATCATCACCATCATCGTCATCATCATTATCATCATCATCCTCATCCTCATCCTCATCATCATCATCATCATCATCATCATCATTATCATCATCATCACCATCATCATCATTATCATCATCATCATCATCATCATCATCATCATCATCATCATCATCATCATCATCATCATCATCATCATCATCATCATCATCATCATCATCATCATCATCATCATCATCATCATCATCGCTGTCATCATCACCACCACCCCTCACACGTTTTGTGGCCCCATAAGGGGGCTCCACCGAAGGCCCCAGTACCGCCGCCCGCACGCGTCCCGCACACCCATTTCGGCACACCCCTCACACGTTTCGTGGCCCCATAGGGAGCTCCACCGAAGGTCCCAGTGGGTGTGCCCGCATGCGTCCCGCACACCCATTTCGGCACACCCCTCACACGTTTCGTGGCCCCATAGGGAGCTCCACCGAAGGTCCCAGTGGGTGTGCCCGCATGCGTCCCGCACACCCATTTCGGCACACCCCTCACACGTTTCGTGGCCCCATAGGGAGCTCCACCGAAGGCCCAGTGGGTGTGCCCGCATGCGTCCCGCACACCCATTTCGGCACACCCCTCACACGTTTCGTGGCCCCATAGGGAGCTCCACCGAAGGTCCCAGTGGGTGTGCCCGCATGCGTCCCGCACACCCATTTCGGCACACCCCTCACACGTTTCGTGGCCCCATAGGGAGCTCCACCGAAGGTCCCAGTGGGTGTGCCCGCATGCGTCCCGCACACCCATTTCGGCACACCCCTCACACGTTTCGTGGCCCCATAGGGAGCTCCACCGAAGGTTCCAGTGGGTGTGCCCGCATGCGTCCCGCACACCATTTCGGCACACCCCTCACACGTTTCGTGGCCCCATAGGGAGCTCCACCGAAGGTCCCAGTGGGTGTGCCCGCATGCGTACCGCACACCCATTTCGGCACACCATTCACACGTTTCGTGGCCCCATAGGGAGCTCCACCGAAGGTCCCAGTGGGTGTGCCCGCATGCGTCCCGCACACCCATTTCGGCACACCCCTCACACGTTTCGTGGCCCCATAGAGGCTCCACCGAAGGCATTCTCGTTTGGAAAGGCTGGGGTGCATCGGCATTTTCGAAGGTTCACGTAGAGGTTTGAAGTGCGAACCTCGAGGATCGAGGCTCGAAGTTTTCTGGCCTTCGGAGGCCCGTCGTCGCCACAACAGTCTCAGCCAGCAGCGATCCATGAGGCGGCCATGGGGGGGAACTCAGTCAGCGTCGCCCCGGCCGTCTCCCAGCTTCTCGCGCAAAACCTCTCATGTCCGGCGGCGGCGGCTGCGACGACGACGACGACGACGACGACGACGACGATTCGCTGGGTGCGTCGACGATGCGTCGCCGATGCGGCGCGACCCTTCGACCCTGGCCCCCTTTGGGAGGCCTGCGGCAGGTTCGCGTTGTGTGGACGCGCTGGCGATCCGTGCAAGGTTGAACGCCGGGCCCATGTCGGGCCCTGGGGCCCACGGAAACGAACCCACGGCGCGAAATCAATAGCGAAGATGGGGTCGAGAGGATCCAGGGATCTCCAGGAGCGGAGATCGTTCGAGGTGAATGCTCCCCTCGGTGTCGGGGACCAGCAACAGGGTCGTCTCGACACGAGCCCGCCGCGCATAGGATGAGCTTTGACGGAGCGGGTGTCCCGCCGGCCTCCCCGAGCAGGGCTCGACGCAGCTCCGGATAGGAAGCGTCGGAGGCGTTCGGGCTCCGGGAGGGGTCCCAGGACCGTAATAGATCTCATATCTCTCCTCTCGTCTCCATCCCAAACCCGATGAGGACGAGGAGGAAGAGGAGGGGGAGGAGGAGGAAGAGGAGGAGGGGGAGGCGGAGGCGAAGAGGAGGAGGAGGAGGAGGAAGACGAGGAGGACGAGAGCAGGATGACGAGGAGGTGGAGGAGGAGGAAAACGAGGAGGAGAAAGACGAGGAGGACGAGGAGGAGGAAGGCGGCGACAACGACGACGACGATGATGACGACGACGATGATGATGATGGCTATGATTCGGATTCTGATTATGACGACGACGGTGAGGAGGAGGAGGAGGAAGGGGAGGAGGGGGGAAGGGAGGAGCCAGCATGGGGGAGGGAGATGAGGGAGGGAAAGGGAGGGACATGCAGAAGGTGAGGAGGGAGGGAAAGGGAGGGGAATGGGGGGAGGGGGTTGAGGGAGAGGGGGGAAGGAAGAGGACTGAAGAAGAGGGGCTCGGAGGAACGAGGGTGTGACGATGATGACGATGATGACGATAATGATGATGATGATGATGATGATGATGATGATGATGATGATGATGATGATGATGATGATGATGATGATGATGATGATGATGATGATGATGATGATGATGATGATGATGATGATGATGATGATGATGATGATGATGAGGATGATGATGATGATGATGATGATGATGATGATGATGATGATGATGATGTGATGATGATGATGAGGATGAGGGATGGGATGAGGATGAGGATGAGGATGAGGATGAGGATGATGATGATGATGATGATGAGATGATGATGAGATGAGGATGAGGATGAGGATGATGATGATGATGACGATGATGGTGATGATGATGGTCGTGAGGATTATGACGATGATGGTGATGACGGTGGTGATGACGGCGATGATGATGATGATGACGATGATGATGGTGGGAGGAGGGAGGAGGGAGGAGGGGGAGGAGAGGAGGAGAGGAGAACGCGGGGCGACGTCTCTTCAAAACGAGGACCCAACACAACAGGATGGTTGGGAAAAACTGCAATGCAGGAAACAAAACTGCAACGCAGGTCTTCGCAAGCCCGGGTCAGCCAATATGAGGATGAGGATGAGGATGAGGATGAGGATGATGATAATGATGGTGATGATGATGATGATGATGAGGATGAGGATGAGGATGAGGATGAGGATGAGGATGAGGATGAGGATGATGATGATGATGATGATGATGATGATGATGATGATGATGATGATGATGATGATGATGATGATGATGGTTATTATGGTGATGATAATGGTCGTGAGGATTATGACGATGATGGCGATGCCGGCCGAGGCGGCGCAGGCGCGGTGGGAGCCGTCGGAGGAGTTGCAGCGGCCTAGCGACCTCGTCAAGGGCCTCGTCAAAAAGTTCGAGGACGGCGTGGTCAACCCGAACACGGGAAAGCAGGAGCGCCGCCCTCTGAAGCCCGATCAGGCCCTGTTCGTCACGGCGTTCGCGAACGCCTGCAACGTGGTGTGGGACGAGGAGCAGAAGATCGAGGACGGCAGCATGGCCAAGCACGCGAAGCGGAAGACGTTCCAGTTTTTGCTCCTCGGCCAGGGCGGCAGCGGGAAGACCGCCATGGTGCAGGAGATCGTGCTGCCGGCCATGGACGCGCTGTTCCGTGTGGGAACGGGCAAGGCGAAGTCCACGCTGATAGTCTGCGCGAAGTGGTCTCAGGCCGCGAACATCTCCACGGACGCTCACTAGGCCGTCAGTTGCCACCGGGCGGGCGTCATAGGAGCGCAGTCATGCAGGAACAAGGACATACCCGCGGGGGGCAAGCTGAAAGCGCTGCAGGACAAGTGGGAGTGGTCAGGTGCTTGACCCTGGAGGAGGTGAGTATGATCTCGCCCAACCTGTACAACATGCTGGCGTTCAGGTCCTACCTGGGACGCAAGGCCGAGTGGGGCGCGGAGGAGCGGGAGTGCGACCAGGTCGGCGGCGCCTTCGGCCGGATGCCCATCGTGATCCACCTGGGGGACTTCCTGCAGCTGAAGCCGACGGGAGGCAAGGTGTCGCTCATCTCCAGCTTCGAGGCACTGGCGGCGGCGGGCATCAACCTCGCTCCAGAGTGCCAGGCAGTGATGAAGATCTTCTGCAACACGCCGCGCGCCGCTGTGCTTCGAGCTCCAGGCGTCCAACCGCTTCAAGAACACCAAGCTCCGAGATCTCATGGCGTTCCTGCGCAAACCGGGGAAGCAGGTCCCTCCGGACATCCGGACCGTGTGGAACGCTATGCAGCTCAACCCCGATGATCGCCGGCTCCGGGAGGAGAGGTTCAGAACGGCCACGTGATCGGGTCCTAGTGGGACACCGTGGCGCGCTGGATGAACATGCGTGCTCAGCGGGACGCGGACGTCCTGAAGAAGCCCCCCTTCCTCGCGCAGGCCGCCGACAGGTCTTGGCCGGCGATGAGCGCCAAGGACGCCGCCAAGATGATGAACAGTACCAACCCGAAGAATACCGGTGGCATGCACGGACTGACCCCGGTGCGCGTGGGCATGCGGATCCGGCTCCTGGAAGCGCTCGACCTTACGAAAGGCCTCGTCAAGGATGCCGAGGGGCAGATCGTGCGCATCGTCGTGGGCCTTCGGGATCGGGACGACGTCGAGGAAGCCGAGACAGACGGGGAGAAGAGGATCTACCTGAAGCGC